CAAGAGAATACTTTCATAAAATAGTTACTATGTAATGTAACTCCTCATACTTTCAATAAAATATATAAATATGGTAGCTGTGCATGTTACTATATTGTGAATGATGTCACAAATTGACCAATCAGAAGGCAGAAGCAGCACTGTGTGCTTCATAAGGAACATTTCGATGAGAGTTAGTAGACAAACGTGGGCGTTTCACAACAGATGAACAAAAACTGGAGCTGGAAGCTGAAAGCAGTCGCGGTTTACCTGAATCATGTACGGTTTGTTCCCCATCCTGCGGATTTCTGACATGTTCCTCATCTGCTGCTGCACCAGAGACGCTTCAAACGCCACAAGCATGAAGAGCGTAAAGACACTGTAGTACCAGTACTCATCCAAACACCACAGACCCACACAAAACACCTGCAGGAGAACAAAGCCATGCAGGTCATTCCATACCCACAGTGGAGGAGAGCTTCTCAATCCGGGATGGACGCAGGATGAATATTTCACACATTTTTAATGTTAAAAAGCCAAACCAGGATTGAGAAACCCCGCCATAAAATGGTGCATTTGCAGTATATTTATACATTTATAATGTACAGGCATAAATATATGAGTAGTAACTGATTATATCTGGACAGCTTCCAAAAATTAAGTACTTGTAATTGGATTAGATTACATTTTAAAGTTGTAATCTTGTTTTTATTGATTATTTATTCACACAGTGTTACTAAATGACACAGAATTTATTGATTCTCTTCAATTCTTCTTTTTCCTTTCTAAAAAAGCCTATCATCATACACACATATATTAGGGCTGTCAAAGGGCTGTGGGCAACCAAAATAAAATTTTGTGTATATATAAATATATAAAAAATATATATATATATATATAAATACACACACATGCTTCTATAGACCATTTCACAAGATGTAAACAACAGTGGTCCAGAAGCACTTCCTGTTTCAGTTTGTAACTGTTTTCTTTATTTCACATGTAAAGAAAACATCTTAAAGATGTTTGTTTAACTTTTTGATTCAGTTTTAAATGTTCTGTTGGTTGTATTTTATCCCAGCTTTTATGTAGTGTCAAAAAACTGAAACAGGAAGTGCTTCTGGACCAGTATTGTTTACATCTTGTGAAATGGTCTATATATTTAAGAAATATTTTCATGTATATACTGTATATAGATTTATATATAATTTATATTAAATAAAAATTTTATATATAAATAATATTTTTTTTCTTAAATATACATGCATGTGTGTGTATTTATATATACAAAATAATTATACACAGTGCACCCACATATATTATGTAAACACAAACTTTTATTTTGGATGCAATTAATCGTTTGACAGCCCTAATATACACACACACACACACACACACACATAATTTTGTATATAAAAATACCTATGCATGCATGTATACATTTAAGAATTATTTGCGCTTAAATTCTGTGTGTGTATATATATATATATATATATATATAAATACATAATCTATATTATATAATTATAAATATTTTATAAATGAATAACACATTTTCTTAAATATATACATGCATGTGTGTGTATTTATATATACAAAAAATAATTATATACAGCACAGACAAATATATTATGTAAACACAGACTTTTATTTTGGATGCGATAAATCACAATTAATTTTTGCACAGCCCTATTGTGTGTATATATATATATATATATATATGTTGTGTGTGTGTGTGTGTGTGTATATATATATATATATAGTATATATACATATGCTCAAAGTCTACATGAAGGAGAGGCAACAGCACTTGATGACTGAATTTACACTTTTAAAGGGTTAGTTCACCCAAAAATGAAAATTAAGTCATTAATTACTCACCCCCATGCTGTACCAACCCCGTAAGACCTTCGTTCGTCTTCGGAACACAAATGAAGATATTTTTGATTAAATTTGAGAGCTGTATAACTACCACATAGACTTCCGTGACTGGCTCTTGACGGCCCAGAAAGTCAATGAAGAAAATGTTTAAATATCCCAAGTGACTACCGTGGCTCAACTATATGTTTATCAAGCGACGCGAATACTTTTTGTGCGAAAAAACAAACAAAAATAACGAGTTTATTCGACTATTTCTTTTCTTCCTTGTAGGCCAGAAACGAGACTTCCTTATAGATTTCCACGACGCATGTGCGAGAACTGCGATCTGAAGTAGTGAAGCTGGTGTGAGCAGATCGCAAATCTCGCGCATGCGTCGTGGAAATCTAAGGAAGTCTCGTTCTGGCCTACAAGGAAGAAAAGAAATAGTCGAATAAACTCGTTATTTTTGTTTGTTTTTTCGCACAAAAAGTATTCGCGTCGCTTGATAAACATATAGTTGAGCCACGGTAGTCACTTGGGATATTTAAACATTTTCTTCATTGACTTTCTGGGCCGTCAAGAGCCAGTCGCGGAAGTCTATGTGGTAGTTATACAGCTCTCAAATTTAACCAAAAATATCTTCATTTGTGTTCCGAAGACGAACGAAGGTCTTACAGGGTTGGTACAGCATGGGGGTGAGAAATTAATGACTTAATTTTCATTTTTGGGTGAACTAACCCTTTAAAGAGTGTTTTCTCATCATTGCATATCCAATCAACTCCAGATAAATTTTTAATTATTATTTGAATCATCACTCAAGTGAGTCATCTCTGTATTCTCAGTATTATTGCCTTTGTAAGGTTTGGTCTTTTTAAAATTAGGTCAAAAGTAATCAAAAAGTAGCCAGAATACATAACCTAAAATGTGCAAGGTAATAGATTACGTTACAAGTACAATTTTTTTTACCATGTAATTCGCAATCTGTAACTGACAACAATTTGTGAGTAATCTACCCAGCACTGCATTTCAGTAAAATAAAGGCACATGCACCGCAGACGTACCTGGAAGACAAAGAAGGGTGCTGTGGCTCTCTCCTTGAAGAGCTCCAGGAAGTCCGGCACCATCATCTCTGCACGGTTGGTGCCGTAGAGCTTCTCTGCAGCCCGCAGCTGAGCCTCTTCCTGATAGCCTCTCCAGTCCTGGAAATGACTCATGGGAAAGCTGATCGGAAACGCCACCTGCAGAAAGCGCTTCTTCTCCTTGCTGTCGTACACATAACGGATCTTCTGGAACTCAAAGGACAGGCTTTCCGCTCCATCCTCATCCTGCACATACATCCATACATTTTTTCCCCATCTAACCTACATTTAGGGTTTCAACACCTTTTGACCAATCAATTATCATGATTTACAGATAAAAAACTTCTGACAATCTGAAATCTAAATACTGGAAAATCATATACATTTAAGATTTATTTATTTCCAATAATAGCCTGTATAAAATAAGGAGCAGATTTGAGGGAAATATACATTGATGATGTCTAAAAATAGGCTTATATCCAAATGAAAACCTAATAAAAGTAAGAATTTAAGCCAGAAAGCGATCTTATAAGCAATTAGGGAATACATTGTGTTTATTTAGGACTATATGTGCATCGGTTTTGGAATTATATGATTTTCTTTATTTTTTCCATCAGATGGCACAATATGCGTTCTCTGCAATGGATTTGTTCTATTTTTAACTTATACCATATTAATTGAAAGTTATATAAAAATATTACAAAATCTACTACATTCATTTCATTAAAATGGTTACGTTTATTGCCTGGGGGATTTATTTTGAGGATAACAAATGTGACCCCTAAACACCAGGGGGGAAAAAGCTCTCACCTTATCCCTCAGAAGAGGCACTAATTCAGCTGAACCATTGTTGGGTGTTGGTATAACTTTTGCAAATGTGGCTTTGTCTGGATCAGACTCCTGTTTGAAATATAATTGCATAATTACAGTCAGCTTACTGTGCATTACTATAAGACACAACAAACATATGCTTGGATTTTTGACTTAGTCAACCCACCCCCAAGTGTGTTAGTCTTTCAAAACAATGCTTAAATTGCACATATATGTTTAATGTGTCATCTTTCACCTTTGAGCAAGTGAGCCAGCAGTGCGCGTGCACGGACCAGTAGCCAGAGAGCACTGTCAGGACGTGCGCGATCCCGAGAGCGGCGAGAGCCAGCAGGCCGGCTTCAACATACTCGGATGCCCCGTAAACCCCAAACCACGTATATAAGCAAAGTGGGTAGAGGAGGAGGAACGGGAACACCGTACCGTGCAGGACGCGTGATCTGCGGCTGTGGAGAGACACTGATCTCACCAGCTCATCGCTCGGCGCGCGCGTCTGCGTCCGCGTCCCCCCTGTGTCATCAACGCCGTCCGCGGCCATATTTCCCTCTTTTTTAGCTTCATCCATTCTAGAGTGTGCCTTCCTCCGTCGACCCTCCTACTCTCCACCTCCTCCGTGCAGGCGCTGATGGTAAAAAGTCAGCTTCGCACCGGCCTGTTGTCTGGCCACTCTTCAGATTTCTGAAAAATATCAGACACATACGACAGTTTCCGCATACGCAAGCACGTATGCCGGTGACGCAATATCCGGGAGATTTTTCTTGTTGACAAAAAAAATTATATTTTAAATAGTAAAATCATATATTACACGATTATTGATTTTATCGTGGAAGTTACATATACATAAATAAAATTGTCTAGCTCCAATCTATTTTTTTTTTATTTAATAGATGACTTTAAAAAAATCTGTAACGTTTAATGGTATTAAATGCAAATTTTTAAGATAAAAATAAATATATTAATTGATAGCTGGCGTCCTCTCCCATTTTTTATTTAAAACAAATACATTTCTTAAATTTAGGCTACTTGCAGCTACTGAAATATAACAACCAGTTAACAACCATAAATATTTATTTAAATCTAATTATTGTCCTGAAATGTGACTTCGGTATAGAAAACGATTTTTAGAAACGATGAAATGTAAATAAAAATGAATGTTTTTTTTAAAGAAGTGTGTAGCCTAAAAGCCACTCCCATTCTTTCACGCTTCCAGTGAAACGACCAATAAGATAACGGTAAGTGTAAACATTGACCAATCGAATTCCTCCGGAGGCCGGGAGCGCGACGCGGACGTTCCCTTTACACCACGTGCGTGTCTCTGCGTGGTGATGTGCCGTCGAGAGTAACCTTCAGGAAACCGACTCAAAATCAAAGGTGTTCAATATGTAAGTAGTGCTCACTGACAGCTGTGTGTTAAATGCTTGTTTTATATTACATTTGTCATGCGTGCGCTGTAATACGATGACAGCAGCCTGATAGCAAACCAAGCTATGTTTAAACTACATTATCTAAAATGACCGGTGCATTGAATGAACTAGAATATTTATTTTGTAATGATAACAGTCTCTAAAACTTTATTTGACAGACTGTCATTGAACGCATTAATCGGTCTTGCTAATTTATTGTGATTTGCATTTAGGCTAATAAAACATATTTAACTGCATAATGACAGGCAGGCAGCGATGGCCATCACAACCAAATACTGCCAGAAGGAGCTGGAGGAATATGGTGGCTGTGTCGCGTCTCATCCAGCATCATGGCAAGAGAAGTGTCTAGACCTGAAGCTGAAGGTGGCACAGTGCACTTCATCACAGTATGTTCTAATGTCATGCTTGCAGACAAATGCATTTCCATTTCTTTTACTCTATTCTCATTCTTATTTGATCACACATTGATGTAAATGTGTTTCTTCAAACACGTTTCTTCTGAGTTTTGTGAGATTTTTGTTATACATTGGTCGTTTTACAATTCCTTCATTAAAGGAGTAGTTCACTTAAAAAAAAAAAAAATTCCCGATAATTTACTCACCCCCATGTCATCCAAGATGTCCATGTCTTTCTTTCTTCATTCGAAAAGAAATTAAGGTTTTTGATGAAAACATTCCAGGATTTTCTCCATATAATGGACTTCAATGGGAACCAAACGGTTCAAGGTCCAAAAGAGAGTTTCTAAACGACACCAGATGAATAAGGGTCTTATCAAGCCTAGGACCCTTCGAGTCATGACTCGAAAAAAGATTTGTTCATTTTGATGAACGAGTTTGAACAGGAGAGTCACGAACGCTCATCACAGAACAGTGTTGTTCATGACATTAGTAAAACTGAATGTATTAAAATGATTTCCCCTGAGCTATACAGTACTGTAACACGCACACACACACAATATACATGGTTTGTAGATAAATTAAATAACTAGTGAGAGTTTACTTTTCCCAAAAACTGACCCGGATTGAAGTACAAAGGGCTTTATTGATGATGTATTTATGATGTCTCAATGCAGTCCTGTGATTAGGAAGATCCGAACAGACTGTGCCAGTGAGTTTTCTGCATTCGAGAGCTGTCTGCGAGAGAACCAGACCTCTGCCGAAGCGTGTCAACCTCGCCTCAACCGTTTCCTTGCCTGTGTTGAGACCGTCGACCTTTCAGGAACAGGTAGGCAGTGAAATACAGTATGAATTGAATTTACAGCTTGAATTTATTACAGAGAGGAAAATGCATTAAAAATATACATAATACTTTTTTTTCCAACAGCAAATGCTGCGCCTCAGCCCACGTAGATGTTTTCACCATTGTGGATTATGGAAATATTGTATTTGAAGAACTATTGTATTTGAACACACACACCAGAGCAGACCTAAATATTTTGCACGGAAAAGATGCAAGAAAAGACTGTGTAATGTGATTTTAGATTTTTGTTTGTTTTTGGAACTTTTCACACTATTTATGAGAGAAATCATTTTTAAAAGGTTTCCATGATATTAAAACATGAAGTTGCAATAAAAAATATGCATTTGAGTTTTTTTTTCCTCTGCAGCTCTCTGCTCTTTTGAAGATTGAATAGTTACCAACAAACCATTTTGTTTCACTATTAAATCCCCCAAAAATATTTTTTCACACACCAATATGAAATTCTTCTGTGAGAATCTAATCGCGGTGGACTACAGATATTAAATGGTATATTTTAAGAAAAAAAAATGAACCTCTATTTAAATCAGTATTCTAATTAGGAGACTTAGTGAGGAAAATATTACATTCTATAATTATTTTTTAGATGAACATGCGGTTTTCTTTTTAACATATGTGAGTATTTATATCTTTTGTAACTTTTATAAATTTAGCTTAAGCTGTCACTGAAACATGGATTCATTTTAGATCTATATTAACATTCTTTACTGCAATGGAAACATAATTATTATGATAATATATGTTTATCTTCAAGGGGCAATATGTAGAATTCAGGCCCTGTCCACACTACTGCGTTTTCGTTTAAAAACGGAGACCTTTTGCTTCATTTTGCACCTCCCGTCCAGACTAAAACGGAAAAAACGAAGACCTACAACGGAGAGGTTTAGAAACGCTGCAGCTCCGTTTTGAGTTTTGAATCTCCAGAGGGCGTTTTAGTGAAGATGGGACCAAACGGAGAAACACTGACACAGAGGCTCACGCTCGGATCTATGATTGGTGTCATCAGTCACGACGTGTCCTTCCCTGATTCGTCACCCACTGTTTACACCTGCACGTGCATGCCCAGTGTTGGTGAGTGGTCACGTGATCCGCGTTTTCAGTCGTTTTAATGTGGACGTAGATCAATTCTAATGTGCTGATAAAACGCTGGTGTGGACGGAGATCATATTTGTTTTAATTCTCCGTTTTTAAACAAAAACGCAGTAGTATGGACTGGGCCTCAGAAACCCTTGTTATTAGCGACACCGGTGGTCGTTAAGTGAACTGCAGCCAGCAACTTATCACTCATGCAGATAATAAGCCCCCGAACTTCCTTTTTTAAAAAAAAAAAAAAAGTTGTAAATACATTTGCAGCGAAATACTTTTAACGAACATCCCAATGCCGTCCAGGCTGCTGAGAGTGACGGTTCGATGAATATGACAACAAAAAATAAAGCGGTGAATAAACGGCAAGCATCTGATAGCGATGTGGATGTGTTTGCACAAGCTCTGCAATTCACAGTAGAGCCAGACCGATATATCGGTCAGCCGATATTATCCATAATATTTTCCGTAATATCGGTATCGGCAGTTATAAATGGACGATAAATGAATATTTAAAAAATAAAATAAAAACGGACGAAACACGCTTTAATCATCTCTCCTTGGCCTGTTATATTGAAAATGTATGTTTTACAATTTGCAGTATGATGTCATCTATTGCTAAATTATGGCTCATCATAGACCAGCTAACCACAAATCTAGCTAATGCCACTATCATCAGTGGAAGACCGCTGACGTTAACATTAATGAGCTTGGAAACAACAATGAACTTTTTCTGGCTAAATAAAGTAATTATTACCGTATTTATAACTAGCATATCTCTAGTTACAGTCCCTGCATTGTAAAACGTAAGTTATACTTGCGAGGAGTGAACATTTAGACATAGAGAAAAAGTATCAAACGTATCTTGTGCAGAAAAGTTAGCTTTTCTTTTACACGTGTGTGAAATCCAACAATATTTAATAAAAAAAAATATCGGCCGATATATCGGAATATCAGATTTTAAAACCCAAAAATATTTGTATCAGTATCGGCCTTAAAAATCCTTTATCGGTCGGGCTCAAATTCACAGGCAACATGTCGACAGATGAGGTAATTAAAATTACACTGATTATAAAGTATAGGCTATTTGAGACAGATCTGGCTGTGTGAGACTATAGTTTGAATCCATTTTGTTTGCATGACACATTGACATCACAGTACAGAATGGCTCTTTCAGCATTATCTTGACTTGAACTTTGTATAATGCTTGGGATAATAATGGGACAGCGCATAACCGTAACAGTCCGTAACATTATACAGGCTTTTATAGACAACTTATTAAGTTTGGAAAGGTCTCTTTTAAAAAAAAATGTTTTGTTACAAGCTGTTTACACAAAACGTGGCAATGAAAATGCAATTAATACATGAAAATGATATATGATTAAATTCGTTTATGCCGTTATGCCAATTATAAATGGTATTTCTTGTTCTCTGTTAGTCACCGTTTGAATGTTTTTCCCCTTACCTTGGCGTCACAGTATAATATTAAACCAAAGAATGCAGACATGTAATATCTCCCCCTCACATGCCCACCGGTTCCCCGCGTCCAGGAACAAAAGACCGAAGGGAGGCATTAGATTAGGATTGCTTTGACCGCTGGTTAAACGGGAGGGAGGACACAGGGTTCTGAGCCTTTGACCACCGAGTTGAACAGATCTTTTATCAGAAGTGGAAAGAAATGTAACTGTTTTACCAGAATCACATACTTATCAGAGTGCATGAGCCATAAATCACACAGCCGGGCGTCGATGTTTGAAATGACGAGTTATATTGGAGAACACCGTTCACAAAAACACGTTCACTGAAAGTCATCACACTAAAAGAAACCCATTCATCTCCCCATCAACAGCTGTCTTCACCGCAGTCCTTTGGAGAAATATTATAACACTAAATAAAACAGTCCAGTATCACAAAATGCTGATATGTGAGCACACTTGATTTAGCAGAAAGTCATGTCCAGTGTACTAGAAACTACATTCCAGTCAGGGTTTTCATAAGCAGATGGACTTACTGTACACTCTTCAATATAAATAATACATTTCACATAAGTATCATGCTGCAACATAAATATTCCAGTGCTATTGTTGCCATTAAAAATAGTCAATAAGAACAAAAATGAGTAAAAAGAGGTGAATACACGAATAACAATAGTGCTAATTACAACAACAGTCATATGACCAACACATTTAGTATATTACAATAAAGCACAATTAGCAACACTTTGCCAAATGTACACGTCCCGTAACATTTAGGGGGTCTTCTTAATACTTTGTGCTATTTTTCCTGTCAATACTAAAGAGATAGATGTCATTTTTATGATCAACCCTGTAACTGTAGGCTAACTGACCCTGTAACAGCAATAACCCTGATTATTTCCTTATCTCAGTTTGGAGATTAGAGCACATCCCTACAGTTTACCTGATGCCTAACAATCTAAAACCTACATGTTTTTCATAGTCATTGTCGTACCATCAGTTTTGCCACGGTGTACAAATCAAGAGTTTAATCTTTACCCTGTGTCCAAATGTTATACTGTTTAAAAACCTGAGATTTATGTGAAATAATCTCGTTTGTGGTTTTGGTTGCTTCAATTTTTGACATTTCATTATTTTATGGTGTACTATTTTAATATTTTGTCTTTTTAATTGTCTAATGCACAGTTAAGACGGCTTGAAACATTAAACAAGAAATCTCTTTCTGAGAAACTGCCCGTATTTAAAAAACTAACAAATGAATTCCAAGTTAAATTGCTTTATAAAAAATACGGCACTAGCTGTTCTAATTTGTGAAAAGGAAATTAAAATGTTAAAGGTGCACTCAGATTATTATCTTATTAAGAGTTTTACACTTCAAAAAATCAACAAAAAGTCTTCAAAATAAAATACAAATTAACAGTTATTTAGCTTTCTTAAAAAATATGTCTATATAGTATTTATTATTTCAAATGTTATTTTTTTATCGTTAACTATAATAACCTTGGTCCAAACGTTTGTGTTTGTGTGATGCTGCATCCACGCCACTAGGTGTCAGTGTAAATCCAAGACAACTGCTATATCGGTCGGCTTGACATACACAAAACTACTGAGTGCACCTTTAATAAACATTTTTACTTGACAAGAAATATTAATGTACATTGACTTCTAGCCAGCCCAGCATGCTAGACTATTTTGGTTTTCACGTTAGATTGAAATAAAAGCTGATTCCTTTACATAAGGAAGGACATAAAGATTGCAAAGCAATATGAAGAGAGTGGAAATAGGCTTGGGCTGTGTCAGAAATCACTCCTATATCCTTTCATTATTTGAGGGGACAGCCATTTGTAGTGCTGTTTGTATTTTGTCGTCCAAAACCCAGGCACGAGATAACATTTTAGCACTTTTAGTCCCATCATCATAAAAGTTAATGGGTTTTTGGTTATATGCCTGAAATAAGATCTGTGGTTAACAAGCTCAATGTGACGTTGTATTCTACAACATAAAATAGATCATTAATAGCTTTTACTTGCCTTGAAAAGGGTGTTTACTAAGTGGCTAAATGGGACTACAGAGGTTGTTTGGCACATTAAAGGTGCAGTAAGCAATTTCTGAGAAACACATTTGATATGTGAAATCAACCCAAATAAAATGGAGCAGAAACAACACAATCTGTGCATCTGTTTTCAGGCCTTACTGCTCAAGTCTCTTCAACACTGGAAAGCTTTTCTAATAGTAAAGCGGGTCCTACAGCAGCTCTTGCCTTATCATAACCCTTATTTTACCACTGATATTTATTTGACCTTTTCTATTTTGTAATGTCTCTCAGCCATCTCTTTCTACAGTCTTCAAATCTCTCTCTTGCTCACTTTCTCTCTTCCTCATCATGAGTGGACACGCCCCATACTGCTGATTGGCTCACTCCCCATCATGAGTGGACACGCCCCCTACTGCTGATTGGCTCATTCCCCATCATGAGTGGACACGCCCGCTACTGCTGATTGGCTCACTCTCTCCTCATCATGAGTGGACACGCCCCATACTGCTGATTGGCTCACTCTCTCCTCTTCATCATGAGTGGACACATCCCATACTGCTGATTGGCTTACTCTCTCCTCCTCATCATGAGTGGACACGCCCCATACTGCTGATTGGCTCACTCCCCATCATGAGTGGACACGCCCCCTACTGCTGATTGGCTCATTCCCCATCATGAGTGGACACGCCCGCTACTGCTGATTGGCTCACTCTCTCCTCATCATGAGTGGACACGCCCCATACTGCTGATTGGCTTACTCTCTCCTCCTCATCATGAGTGGACACGCCCCATACTGCTGATTGACTCAGTCTCTCCTCATCATGAGTGGACACGCCCCATACTGCTGATTGGCTTACTCTCTCCTCCTCATCATGAGTGGACACGCCCCATACTGCTGATTGGCTCAGTCTCTCCTCATCATGAGTGGACATGCCCCCTACTGCTGATTGGCTTACTCTCTCCTCCTCATCATGAGTGGACACGCCCCATACTGCTGATTGACTCAGTCTCTCCTCATCATGAGTGGACATGCCCCCTACTGCTGATTGGCTCACTCTCTCCTCTTCATCATGAGTGGACACATCCCATACTTCTGATTGGCTCACTCTCTCCTCATCATGAGTGGACACGCCCCATACTGCTGATTGGCTTACTCTCTCCTCCTCATCATGAGTGGACACGCCCCATACTGCTGATTGGCTCAGTCTCTCCTCATCATGAGTGGACATGCCCCTACTGCTGATTGGCTCAGTCTCTCCTCATCATGAGTGGACATGCCCCATACTGCTGATTGGCTTACTCTCTCCTCCTCATCATGAGTGGACACGCCCCATACTGCTGATTGGCTCAGTCTCTCCTCATCATGAGTGGACATGCCCCCTACTGCTGATTGGCTCACTCTCTCCTCTTCATCATGAGTGGACACATCCCATACTTCTGATTGGCTCACTCTCTCCTCATCATGAGTGGACACGCCCCATACTGCTGATTGGCTTACTCTCTCCTCCTCATCATGAGTGGACACGCCCCATACTGCTGATTGGCTCAGTCTCTCCTCATCATGAGTGGACATGCCCCCTACTGCTGATTGGCTTACTCTCTCCTCTTCATCATGAGTGGACACGCCCCATACTGCTGATTGGCTCACTCTCTCCTCATCATGAGTGGACATGCCCCCTACTGCTGATTGGCTCACTCTCTCCTCATCATGAGTGAACACGCCCCATACTGCTGATTGGCTCACTCTCTCCTCATCATGAGTGGACACGCCCCATACTGCTGATTGGCTTACTCTCTCCTCCTCATCATGAGTGGACACACCCCATACTTCTGATTGGCTCAGTCTCTCCTCATCATGAGTGGACACGCCCCCTACTTCTGATTGGCTCACGCTCTCATCATGAGTGAACATGCCCCCTACTTCTGATTAGCTCACTTTCTCCTCATCATAAGTGGACACGCCCCCTACTTCTGATTTGCTCACTCTCTCCTCCTCATCATGAGTGGACACGCCCCCTACTTCTGATTGGCTCACTCTCTCCTCATCATGAGTGGACACGCCCCCTACTTCTGTTTGGCTCACTCTCTCCTCCTCATCATGAGTGGACACACCCCCTACTTCTGATTGGCTCACTCTCTCCTCCTCATCATGAGTGGACACGCCCCCTACTTCTGATTGGCTCACTCTCTCCTACTCATCATGAGTTGACATGCCCCCTACCTTCTGATTGGCTACAAGTGTGTCGTGCTACTCGGTTTCTCAAAAATTGCTTACTGCACCTTTAAACGTCATCACACCAAACAGGTAAACTCTTCTACACATTAATCTGCTTTCACAGCCTCCGTTTTTATAATCAAACTCTTGCAAACTATTCAGACTAAAAGTTTTTTAAAACAAAGACTGATGTATTTGTTGGAAGCGTAAAGGTGATGATGTTGAAACCATGTGACCATGGTGTAGTTCGTTTATGCAGTTAGATTTTTACCGTATTTAGGTTTACCGTCAGCATTTTCAAAAATATTGACGAACAAAACGTGTAAGAATCACAAACTCTCACAGAGCATTTCTGCAATAATCCAATAGAATAATCTTTTTATCGAGGTACCGCTAACTTTTTGGTTGGCCTGCAAAACACATCACCATTCAAGCACTGAATGAGAATATGGGGGGGATTTTGGATACAGCCTTGATCAGTTTGTTAGTTTTACACTGAGTAGAGGGTGAGGTAACACTTGGACTTCATGAACAGCTGCCTGTTGATGTCTGCACCTATGACCCTATGACTGTCGAAACATTTTTGCGCAATACAGAACAAAAGAAATAGTGCATTTATGTGATATAAAACATGAGATTCCAGTGAGTTCCTATTCTGTCCATGTCATATTGAATTTTTAGGGTCTGCTCATGTCCTAGTTTGACTGGTTAGAGATTTATCGGCACGACTAAGATATGATTGAGGGACTCAATTAGTTCTGATGAAAGACGCCTCCAGTGAGACTCTATTTGTTGCCCCCTGCAGTGGTGGAGGAGCGCTTTAGGTAGGTGGAACCAGGGTCATGAGGTAAAGTATGAGTTTTGCATCGAGTAGAGGCGATCAATGGGATTTCCTATCCGCCCCGCCAGAACTCCACCATCTGCGGTCGACAAGAGACAGTCCCCGAGATGACTGAGACTTCCATCACTGTCCAAGTCATGGAAAACTGTCTCTGAGTCTGAAATAAATTCGCCGTTCAAGCACAAACATTTCAGTTAACGAAAACGAATAAGCAAAGCCGAAGTTTATACAATCCTTACCGTAGGAGTGCATCTGCTCGGGGCCGAGCTGTGGTGGCGTGAGCCCGTGTCGGAATTGCTCGCTGCCGTATATGTTCGGATCCAAGGCCAGGAGTTGTTGCCGTGGCAGAGAGGAATATGAGAGCAACCCATCCAGTCCGTGACTGCTGGAGCCGTCTGTGAAGAGACAGAGCTGGGTTCACACCTTTCATCAAGAAGCCATTTCACACGGTTGTCCTTCCAGTCCGCCGTCCGGCCGTGTCTTACCCTCACTGTCATCGTTACTCTGGCGCCCCCCTCTGCTCGGGCCCCTCCTGGTGCCGCCCATCTGCTCCTGTTCCTGCTGTTGCTGCTGCTGCTGCTGTCTGCGAGCGATCTTCTTCATCTGAACACACGACAATGCTCAGCTCCACGAACAACATTCACAGCTAATAGCCATATAATCAAACTAGCCTTGAACGAGCTGTCACAATAGCAGTGAATAATCCCTTCAAGTCACAAGTCTCAGTGTTGTTGGTTGCTAGTACCTGTCTTTCTAAATCTATCTATCTATCTATCTATCTATCTATCTATCTATCTATCTATCTATCTATCTATCTATCTATCTATCTATCTATCTATCTATCTATCTATCTATCTATCTATCTATCTATCATTGTATCCATCATTGTATCTATCTATCTATCTATCTATCTATCTATCTGTCTGTCTGTCTGTCTGTCTGTCTGTCTGTCTGTCTGTCTGTCTGTCTGTCTGTCTGTCTGTCTGTCTGTCTATCTATCTATCTATCTATCTATCTATCTATCTGTCTGTCTGTCTGTCTGTCTGTCTGTCTGTCTGTCTGTCTGTCTGTCTTTCTATTTGTATGTCTGTCTGTCATTATCTCTGTCTGTCTTGTTTTATCTATCTATCTTTTTATCTATCGGTCTGTCTATATCTATCGTTCTCTGTCTATCTATCCTGTCTATGTCTGTTCGTTCTTTCTATCTGTGTCTGAATATCGTTCTGTCTATCATTCTTTCTATGAATCGTTCTGTCTATCTTTCTACCTGTATGTCTATCGTTATCTCTATCTGACGCGTTCTATCCATCTATCTATCTATCTATCTATCTATCTATCTATCTATCTATCTATCTATCTATCTATCTATCTATCTATCTATCTATCTATCTATCTATCTATCTGTCTGTCTGTATCTATCATTCTGTCTATGTTCTTTCTATCGTTCGTTCTTTATAGCTGTGTCTGAATATCGTTCTGTCTATCTATTGTTCTTTCTATCAGTCGTTCTGTCTGTCTGTATGTCTGTCTATCGTTATCTCTGTCTGTCACGTTCTATCTATCTATCTATCTATCTATCTATCTATCTATCTATCTATCTATCTATCTATCTATCTATCTATCTATCTATCTATCTATCTATCTATCAGTCTGTCTGTATGTATCGCTCTCTGTCTATCTATCATTCTGTCTGTCTGTTCTTTCTATCGTTAGTTCGTTCTTTCTATCTGTCTGAATTTATCGGTCTTTCTATCTATCCTTCTGTCTGTCCATTTATCTACCGTTATATATATATATATTATTTTTATCTGTCTCTGTCGTGTCTGTCTGCCTATCTATTGTTCTGTCTGTCTCTTCAGGCCTGTAAACCTTTAAAGTTACAATCAGGGCTTTGTCAAGCCACATTTAAAACTTTTTGTCAAAAATTATCTTCTTTTTTTTAATCAAATTTAGTTATTTGATTTTCAGTTTATTTTAATCACACTCCCTTTTAACCACTAGACATATGGTCAGGAGAACAAGGATGTTGTTTACATTTTTTTTTTTACCTGGGTAAATCATAAGATGGTATTTCAAACGGGAACATAATCAGAATAAATGACGCCATCCTACCTTTGCTCTCTGATTTTGGAACCACACCTGCACGACTCTCACCGTCAGTCCCGTCTCAGCGGCGAGAGTTTCTCTGACCTGCGACAACAGCGCATGCATGAGATGGACATCAGTGCTGTTTCCACATACAATGCACACCTGTGACTGCTGACCTTTCGGCAGGGTTTGGAAGACACCTCGAAGGAAGCCTTGAAGGCGCGACGCTGTTGCGTGGTCAAGATGGTACGTGGTCTCTTGGACCTCTTGTGATCCTTCCCATCATCCCCAGCCTTCCCCCCGACGAGGACACCACCGCCCTCCTCGTCCTCACTCTTTACTGCAGAGGGAAACTGAGCATTGGCTTCAAGGTGAACTGTGTCATTTCTTAACTGATTGAACATCTCTTCTCCTTAAATATCAACCTTCAATTGAGGTCAAGAGGGTTACCAGACTCGGTAGGGGCCGGGCTGATGGCGGCCAGCATCTCTCTCTCCTTCTCATAGTCTCCCCGGCAGAGCAGCTGTCCCTCCTTTAGCACGAACTCATCACCTCTCTGCAGCCGGCGCTCACACTCGCAGCAGCTGAAGCAGCCCAGGTGATACACCTGCCCCAGGACACGCATGATGAGCTCCGAGCGCCCGATCGCCTGCAGGCACGCACTGCACTTCCGCACGAACAACCTGACACACACACACACACATGTCACTGAACGCTCACTTTATGCAATGTTTTGTCTGTGACACTGGGTGGCAATATTTGACAACGCACAAGATGTCACAAGCCTATAAATAACACTCTTTCTGCAAGTTTCTAGAAACAATATGATCAAAACTCGCACACAATCTGTTACATGCCTTCTGTCGTCTGATTGATAGTAATTGTGTAATTGTAAAAACGTCCTCTTTTAGGTCACGAAACACATCTTTGCTGTGAAATCTTCGTAAGAATAACTTTTACCCCCGCTTAAGCTAGTCCGAGACTAAAAATGCATGTTATCGTATATCTTAAAATATGTCAGTGCCATTGTTTTGTCTCATGATGCTTTTCTAAGACACATTTATAAAATCTATAAAATACTGGGTCATGGGGTCTATATGACCCCAATCGACTTTTACTTTTACTTTTTTTTTTTTTTTAAAAGGTTCCCTTCATCTCAGTGGAATAAGGTTTTGTGACTTTTCATACATTATCTATCTATACACAAACTGGGCTTGATTCGGTTGTTCTGACGGTATGTAAAAAATGTTTACACTTCTGGTATTCGGGGTCAATATGGCCCCACATTGAAATGAATGGGAAATGTTTAAAAAAAACTAAATACATTTTTTCCATGTGTCAAAAAAATAAATAAATCGGGCATAAATCTGAATTTTTACACAGAAATGAAGGCCTAGTACTAGAGCATAAATGCAATGTATCATAAAAAAAATAACATTTCATATGCTAATGCTAATGCTAATGGTGTAGTTAAGGAATTGTGTGGTATATGGATACAAAAGTACTTTATATCTCCAAAAACACAGCATTAATGAATAGATGAGAAGTATGAAAATGTACAATTTACTCAATCAATTGTTGGGGTCGTATAGACCCCGAAGCCTAGAAGTGTAAACAGGAAACGAAGACCATTTGAAGGTTAAATATCCTAAATGAACTAAGACCTAATCCTTGCCTTAATAGTTTTTATTGTTATTTGATGATGTTTTATGAATAGTTGATGATGAACATTTACTGGACTGACGCAACTTAGGTTTACTTCATTTTTGATATTGAAAATCATATTAAAATGTAAGGTTCAAATTTGATCCATCAGGCGTGTTTATTATTTGTTCATCTGTCAATCATCATTGCATTATATGTTTTGCCCCTGACAATAAAATATTACAAACTAAGATTTTGAAAAATTATTGGGAGATGTAGAGAGATTGACATAATTAGCTTGTTTGTTATACTGTTATAAAAAATCTCATTGATTTACATTACAAGCTATCAGAAATTCAGGGGTTTTTTTCAGGCGTTTGAGAACCATATAATTTTTTTTTGGTCTAAATGTTAAAAATGTCAAAAAACAGGGCTTTACAGGGTAATTTTATTTGTACATATTCATTCATTTGACAGAAACTTTTCCCAACGCCGCTTACACTGCATTTAAACTGTACATATCACCTGGGAATTGAACCTGTGATATTGGTGTTGCTAGCATCGTGCGCTTTGCTGAATGTTTTAAACTTACCAATGATTTTCTAAGATGATAAACAGTGACAGTACAGGGCAAAAGTGAGCAAATACATTAAGAAGTTCATTTGTCCCACTACCAATGCCCGTAAACGCCTCTCTTTAAACGGTGTTTTCCTGTATCGTGGCTCATCAACATCACAATTCGTTTCAAAGGCACTCTCGCTCTCCAAACTCCTTGTTTTTTCCCTCCTCTCTCCCCTCCCTCACCGCTTGATATTTTCTGCCAGAATTCCCTGTCCTCCCTCCCGTCCTCCCTTTCCAGCTCCGTGAAACTAATAAAGACAGGATTAATTAGATTGTTGTTTAAACAGTGCGATGCCCAGACAGACGCTGTAAACTCATAACCAGGGATTGAGGATAGCATGGGGTTAATCTCTCCCCTCTCTTTTTCACACACTCGAATAAACACACCATACTCACACACACACATTTACCAGCACCTATATTCGGCCGTGCTCATGTACTCTCATAATTATTGACAGGTACCCACAGACGCTCGATGACAATCTAATCCTTATGTACATTTCACTAAGCCAAAGCAACAGTCACCATTCACCCAAAATGTGTCATGAACCTGTGAAGTTACATCAAATGTGGTGTTTGACGTGATTTTAGGCTGTTGTTTGTTGCTATGTGGTTGTTAGGGTGTTCTGGGCGGTTGCTTTCCCATTAGAAAAAATGCCAAGTCTATGATATTGTGGTCCAAGCGATCATTTCAAGGAATAGTTCACCCAATAAATGAACGTTATGTCTAGAATTAACCCTCGTGCTTAAGGGTTTGATCAGATCCCTAACCCTAAATACACTCTTAAAGGGATAGTTCACTTTAAAATAAATTTTTGGTATGTTTTATCTTACCTCAAGGGCATCCAAGATGTAGGTGTCTTTGTTTCCACAGTATTTTCAATTTTGATTTTTATAGGTCAAACCTTTCTTGTCTGTCAGTCATATAATGGAGGTCGATGGTCACCACCTCAAAGAGCATGCACAGAGAAGTCCAAATTAAACATGATTTAATGACTCGTAAATGTAAGTACACATTGATGGCCTAAGACACGAAACGAGCGGTTTGTGTGAGAAAACGAAGTATTTATATCATTTTTACGTCTTGTAAGCACAGCCACGACCAAGTGATCTGAGGGCACGGGCGCTTTGTGGCTGTGGTAACTAGAGGTAAAAACGATATAAATACTTCGTTTTCTCACACAAACCGCTCGTTTCGTGTCTTAGGCCATCAATGTGTACTTACATTTACGAGTCATTAAATCATGTTTAATTTGGACTTCTCTGTGCATGCTCTTTGAGGTGGTGACCATAGACCTCCATTATATGACCGACAGACCTAAAAATATCAAAATTGAAAATACTGCGGAAACAAAGACACCTACATCTTGGATGTCCTGGAGGTCAGCTAAAACATACCAAAAATTAATTTCAAAGTGAACTATCCCTTTAAATGCAAAAGTACATTATTAGCATCAATTGTTCCACAAAGAGCATGTAATCTTTCCTTCTTTAGTTTTTAAAATGTTTTACACACTAAGAAAAAACGGTTCTGTTGACTGAAAGGTTTCTTTGAGAAAATGGCATTGCTGTTAAAAAAAAACAAAAAAACATTTAGAGTGTACGGGCAGTAAATAAAGCTAAAACCTACTTTAGCAATGACCACTAATGAAATTAAAAGCACACGTATAAAAAGCACATTAAATCATTAGATACTGTCACACATGATAAGATGAAAACAAAGCACGTTGGCGGCGATAACGCGACGGATTGCCCCAGTTCGCGTGTGTGTGTGTGTGTGTGTTGAGAGCAGGAGATGAAGGTGTCATATCAGAAATCTGCTGAAGGAAGAGCCAGCCAGGTCCACACATTATAGCCTCTAATCTGCACAGATATGATGATCCTGTCCGAAACGCAGCTGCTATGGCTAATCTGTCTCAATCCATCTGCCAAAAGTGCCAAATTACCCAAATCACCACCTACACCACCCAGATCAAAGACGACCAACTCTAAAACCCCTGAGCAACATTCATTCAGCAACTGACCGTATGAACACTCCCGGCTCATACTTCACGAAACCAAAATAAATGAGTGAGAAATTATATTTTGTGATCATGTGACATTCAACACAAACTTTAAAAAGGGGATAAAATGGTAACACAGACACATTAGACATGATTACAAAAATAACAATAATGTTCATTCATACTTGAACATCTGAAAAGCAGAGTTAACCGAGGATGAAACTACCTTGGGGGAAAGTACGAAATTATGGGTGGAGAAAAAAAAAATCATGTTCATGATGTCAATTCAATAAGGTTTTACATAAATCTATAGCCAAATCATAGTGTGTGGGCCTAATCCATGCATGAACACGTAATTTTGCATAATCAAACACTTACTGTCATAGTTGCAAGGTTTATCCCTCAGACTTTGGTGCATCTTTGTATATATAGGGAGTCAGTATGTAAATCATACATGTACACATAATTGCAAGGGTTGGTGCTTGTGTGTGTGTGTGTGTGTGTGTGAGCGAGAGAGAAAGAAAGAGAGCGGATATTGCTGTGAGGGAAGGTGGCTCAGAGCCAGGGTTCAGTAATCACATCATCTTCTTTTATTAAATCTCACTGCACTGCTTCTGCGTTATTAAAATCTCCCAGCATTCCCCACAACCCACTCCCGCCACCCTCCCTCCCCGGCACGCACGCACACCAATATTCACAATGATGAAATATGAGAAAACCAACAGGTAGCTGATAAAAATGTACACACCAGACCAGTCGAACGCAAAAGAGAAGCAGCTAAACTGACACATTTTTCACTGACCCAATCACGAGAACCAGCTGAACATGCGATGAACGCAGTCCTCAAACATGTGCAAAGTACTGGAATGATAATCTACGGGTGGCATGCAGGCTTTAATTGTCTAATTATGTTTGATTGCGTTGAGACACATCATTTAATGCTAATAGAACAACAAATAGTGTCATTGCACACCATCAAATATTGCTTACCGCTCTCTGCTGAATTCAGATGGTTACTTTTATGGCTTATGAAGAACACTTCAACAGGCTCATTAGAAAGAGTACTGTCTATCTAATAATGAGATGATCATGTAGAAATCATGCGGTAACACTTTGATAAGTTAACTTTCGATAGTTGAAGGAGTAGTTCACTTTTACAAAAACTTTTGCTGATAATTTACTCACCCCCATGTCATCTAAAGTAAGATGTCCATGTCTTTCTTTCATCAGTCAATTTTGATGAAAACATTCCAGGATTTTTCTCCATATAATGGACTTCAATGGGAACCAAATGGTTCAAGGTCCAAATGAGAGTTTCAGTGCAAACTGTTCAAAGGGCTTTAAACGACACCAGACGATGAATAAGGGCCTTATCTAGCGAAACGATCACTCATTTAATAAATAAATAAAAAAGT